CGGAGCTATCATTGCTTTAGTTAATTTTTTGCTATTTCTGAATATGAGATTGCCCAGCAACCAACTTAGATGACCAACTATGATTAGAGACCTTAATTTAAAACTCATCTGCAAACCATTGTATCCTAATTAGTTGGCTTAGTATCTGAGTTAATACATTTGTCAGTTTATAGTTAGGCTATTGTGTCATCCAAACAGCTGTTGCAGAAGTGAATTAATACTGGAACTGAATGCTGAGCCCAAAATATGGTTTAATTTCTTAACTGGGGATTGGGGGACATTCAGAAGACTAGACTTGCCAGCTCTTAACTCTTCTAAATCTATTTAAAGTGCAGTCAGGGTTAATCTAGACTATTTTGCTTAATGTTAGATCACTTTAGAGCCGTGTTTTTCAAACTTGGCAATTTTAAGATGTGTGGACTTCAACTTCCAGTATTCTTTGAAAACACTAGGAATTTTCAAAGTGAAACAGACTGTTGTCTGGAAACATCTCCCCATCTCCCAGATTCTGTGTATGGGGCAAGATAATTGTGTAATCAAAGCCTGTGGAAGCTTCCTTCTTAATTATACATTATGTAACAAGTTTTGCAAATAAAGAGGATTAAAAATAAATGCTGTCTTGGATGATGGGCTGACAAATGTACTTGAACTGCTTTGAAGTTGATAGGGCTGCTGTCTGAATGCTTGGAAAGGTTGGATTTTGTTGTCAAATTGGCTTTCAGTGAACTGTCGCAGTTTTATTGTGAAAGCCTATTCACTGGCCTGTGTGGCTACAAATGGTGAACAGAAAAGTTGGGAAATAAAGCCAAACAGCTGACCTAGAATAAACATTTCTGCTTTCATCTTTTATTACAAAACTTGATCAACCTGGCACCTGCCAGACACGTTGGACTGTAGCTCTCCCCAACTTCTGTCATGTTGGCCATCGATTATGAGGAACATACTCCAGGGCACTGTTACTTTAAGAAAGCCTGGTCAAGTAGCTTGAAGTGGGGTCAGTGATGAAACAAAGCCCAGTGATAAGAAAGCATCTGCGCGGTTGTTTTTCTTTCAAACTAATTTAACTGCATTGCCCGGACACTGCAAGAGAGAAACCCTAATTGGTTCATGTTTTCACCTGCTTGTTATTTAACTGTTCTCTGTTTCCAATCTTGCTTTCTCAAGGCGATGCTTGTTGTTCATGACACTGTTGCCCAGAAGAACTTTGACCCTGTTCTCCCACCATTGCCGGATAATATTGATGATGATTTTGATGAAGAATCAGTGAAAATAGTTCGTCTAGTAAAGAATAAAGAACCTTTGGTATGTACGTATGATGCAGGTAAGAACAAAAAGCTCATGGTGTTCCAGTTGGGATTGAAATAACTACTGTATGCATGAAGTACGGGACATTTTTCAGAAGCAAAAGTGATTGCAGAGGGTAAAAACAAAACGGAAATGGAGAAGCAAAGATGGTTCTGGAGGGATGACTCTCCTTGGCACTGCTGCCTACCTCCAGCATGATTAACAGCTTCTCTCCTACCCATAAAATGTCCATATTTTCATATTTGGATGACACAGTAAGCCAAACACCATCTGACTTAGTATGTTGTGTAAGCATGGTGGTTCTGTGAAGACGTATTTTGACTCTTGCGCTCTGAACTGGCTGCCGATCAGGTTGATTAGTGATTCCATTCTAGTGTGATGGGAGAGAAAGAAATCCTTCTTTTTCTCCACACTTCCCAAGCTGGTGGCTTCCCACTTCCAGACTATCACGGACTTTTTAATACAGGGAGTTTGTGAAATGTAAGGAAGTGGGTAGGAAAAGGTTACCTTACTTTGTTATAATCTTATCCCCAATTTACAATAGGTATCAAATGCAAAAACTGTAACACTTTCAGATGATAGACCTTCAGATCACATTACACCTAGGATAGGCAATTGGTGTCTTCCACATATATTGGAAATGTACTTTCATTAAGTCAAACCAACATAGTCAATGGCAAGGCATTGTGGGAACTGTAGTCTAACTCCTGTTGTGCCCTTATTCAGCACCAGTTGTTTTGGTTGTCTGTTAAAATATAGATGCAAGTTAAGATGTTATTAGGCTTTAAAGTTCTAAAATATTTGGAACTTGTTTATCTGATAAATCAGCTGTCTGAGCTTTAACCTCAGCGTATGAAACCCTGGGTTTTGCTCAAACATTCAGATGTGAGTAAAGAGAGCAAATCTATTTGTTAAAGTCTGTCATTTTCTTATTTCTCCTATGTTAAATTAATTTGAATGTATTTCTACATGTTCCCCATTTTTTAAAGTCTATTTGAGAATTTATGCACATTTTCTTGAGCATTTTCCCACTAGTATACATATTTTCTGTGTATTTGTCTTATATACAGTACGTGTTTTGCCAGCCATGTTCTTGATATAATTTAAGTTGTGTGGATGTTCCCATAATAAGTATATATGCATTTCTGTATGTCATTTTTGAGATGTGAATTCAGTTGCAGAATTTATAAAAATAATTTCTCTGGCTGACTGCATCCATGTTCAGGAACAGGATGGGGAAATATGAAATGATCAAAGTACAGATAGTCCTCGCTTAGCAACCACAATTGAGACCAGCAACTCTGTCACTAAGTAACATGGTCGCTAAACAAAACATCACGTGACTGCAGCAGACTTACGATGTCACTTCTGGTGTGGTCGTTAAGTGAATCACTGCAGGTCTTTACGTGAGACATCATGTGACTATGACTTGTGATTTTACTGTCGGCTTCTCCATTGACTCTACTTGTTGAAAGCTGGCTGTGAAGCATGCAAATTGTGATCATGTGACCACAGGACACTGCAATGGTCATAAACACTTGCCAGTTGCAAAGTGCCCAAATCTTGATCATGTGACTATGGGATGTTGCAATGGTCATAAATGTGAGGACTGGTCATAAAGTTACTTTTTCAGTGCCATCGTAACTTCAAACAGTTGCTAAACAGGTCAGTCATTAAGTGAGGTCTATCTGTAGCATAAAAATGTGAACTGGATGAATTTCTCCCTGTCTCTAGCAGTAACATCAGGGAATACCAAGATCTCCAGGAATGTCCTGGCTTTGGAATTATGTATAGCCCTCTCTTTATGGGTTACAAGAACTATGTATTGCAGTTTGCACTGGTTAATTTTAGAGTACCGTGCTTTTATCTGCTGCTGGTATTTTATTCATTCTATTTCAATGAATTGTGTATTGAATATTGTTATGGTACGGTTATTTTTAAAAGATGATGTAATCAACTTTGTAAGGACTTTTATCCTGAAAAAGTGAAAAATGTCATATTCCTATTGATAAACAATGCTGTTATTAACAAGAGAAAATACTCAGGGATCAGCTGGAATTGCAGCAGATGTAGCAGGACAGATCAAAGAAAACACTTCTTCACGCAGCGTACAGTTCATGGAATTCAGTTCTACAAGATTCAGCAATGAATCTTGGCTTGGGTTGTAGTAAAGTGGACCCAGCTGAATTCATGGAGGATAGAACCAGCCCTTGCTCTTAACTGTGACAGCTACATAGAATTTCCAGAGGCCATGTCAGAATGAATATTAATTGCTGAGGGGAGTCAAATGTGAGGGAATGCTGTAGTTTTGTTGAGGGTTCCCCTCAAGCTTGTATTTGGCCATTACGTATTGTGAGGTATTCTTTTAGGCTTAATTCACCAAGCCTACTCTGGGGGGCCAGGCAAGAGCTGTGCCTTGATGGGTCTTTTGTTTCCCTTTTAGGGTGCAACAATCAGGCGGGATGAGCACACGGGGGCTGTGATTGTGGCCCGCATCATGAGGGGAGGGGCAGCCGATCGCAGTGGTATGTTTCTCTAAACAGCAGAATTCTTTTTCGTAATTTCGCATGAGAGAGGGCAAGCCTTCTCTGAGTCAGCTTGGGATTTTTATTTTTGTATTCCCTGAAAAACACATGCGCTTTTATTTCTCTTCTACAGGATCAGGTGCAATGTCATAGTGTTGATGCTGGAAATGTTGGACGTTTTTGTATTGGAAGAATGGCATTTTTATCTATTCTTTCTTCCTGTCCTCTGAGTCTTGTATTATATCAAGACTGCTTTGCCGACACAAGCGAGCTCCTGTCAAGTTCGCTTCTAACATGCAGATACACTTGGATCCAAGCATGGAAAGAATGCATTTTTGTAGCCTGCAGAATTCAGGTTGAAGTTATAGGCCAGTGTTGTTCAAACTTGGCCACTTTAAGATGAGTGGACTTCAACTCCCTGGCTGGGGAATTCTGGGAGTTGAAGTCCACTCATCTTAAAGTGGCCAAGTTTGGACAACACTACTGTAGGCTATAAAAACATAATTTTGAGGGGTCCTGTGACTTGTTCCTTATTGATTATTGCCACAGGCAGCACCCAGAATTGTGTATGTTTCCCAAAGGTTATTCAAAATTATATTCCTTTGAGGGTTACCAGAGCCCTACCCGCAGTGTTTTGTAAAACAAATGAAAGGTGAAAGTTGAGTGAGATGATGGATATTATTGGCTAAATTGTTTGAATGAAGATTTAGCCAAGGGCTGAGTAAGTAGAGCAGTTCCAATTTTTGACAAAGGGGGCTGCAAGCTTCCTTTGAACTATAAAACAATTAGACATACAGTATATTTCAGCTAAATGTATATTAGATAGAAGATCATGATGTGATTGTGTGTTGAGAAGTGATACCTCTTCCATAATTACATCAAAGCTGTAGAAGCTCTAGTTCCACAGATACTTTTGGACTCTGCCAACCTACCAGTCTCAGCCAGCAAGGCCAGGATATGGTGATGTAGTCCAGCGACAAGAAATCAATAAATATTTTTCTTTCACATTCTGCAGAGGAGAAGCCAACTCAGTAATTAGGAACAAAGAACCTATTATATAAAATGATAAATTTCAGATTATAATTTTATAATCCGCATCCCAGCCTCCTCCTAAGGCAGGACTGGGCTGGGTTTTTTTAGTTATTTTCATTCTTCAGGGACTACAGAGGTGCTTGGTGGTAATACAGTGGGCAAGCTGAATTTTAAAAATACAGATTTTTAGCTCAGATTTTTTTTTAAAAAAAGCAGAAAATAGATTGGGTAATTCTGCTATAGGCTTAGTGCATCCAGTTACTGCCAAAATGGAATAAGGAGAGAGATTGTGTCTAGAAACCTCCATTTTGCTGCCACTTCTGGTGGCTTAATCCTAGGGCTTCCTGGAACTGTCAGAATAAGTCTGGAGACACACATGGTTGCTGGCCCTGGATTGCTGGCCAAGACTCTCCATCTCTTCACCTAGCACTTTTCTCCTTACAACAACATGGAAACATGAGAGAGTGACTGGTTTAAGATCACCTAGTGAGCTTCACGGATGAGTAGGGATTCTGCACATGAAACTGTTGAATTTGGCAGAATAAGGAAACTTTGAGTTTAATGTTCTATTGTTCTGGTCCCAGGCTCTGAAATTGGCTTTTGGTGGCATTTCTTATTTGGGACAGGACTTGCTTCTCTGCTGTGAGCCATCAGATTTGCTGCAGGCAAAGTGTGGAGCTTTTGCTGCTTAGAATAGATGGTTGACCTCATATTTTTCTTGTTTCCCTCCTAGGTCTTGTCCATGTTGGAGATGAGCTGCGGGAAGTCAATGGAGTTGCTGTGCTTCACAAACGACCGGAAGAAATTAGCCAGATTTTGGTTTGTTTGGGCTTTTCCACACATAGGTATTGTTCACAAGACACATTGAACCATACATTGCCAACTGCATTTTGGCTGGTACACTGGGCAAACCCAGACGCTGTGGTTAGATTATGGTTCAGTCGGTCATGTGAACTCAGAAAATAGAAACCAAAATTAAATTAATCAAGGGAAATTGGTAATGGTAGCTTGCTTAAGACTGTAATTACATACCAACCTACCTGGGAATAAGTATGTTTGGATTCATTGGGACTTACTTTTGAATACATTCTGATAAGTAACTCTATTTCTCTACACTTGAATGGTCAACTAAGTAAAAAGATGTCATGATGATTTGGGCAGTATATTTTTAAAGTAAGTCTATTATTTTACTACAATTCCTCCTTTGCTTGAGGTCCTCAACCAGAGACTGGATGGTCATCCTGGTCATCTCTCAGAGATGCTACAGTGGCTTGAGCACTGAGCAGCGGGTTGGACTGGGTGATTTCTGGATATTTTCCCACTTTGATTCTGCTTATAAAAACCTGCTGCTGGTAGACCTTTCTTTCTTTGTCTCTCTTATGCACTCACAGGATGCCTGCTGCAATAGTGTACATCTGAATTATTTTAGAAAGAAGGAACAGTTGTTGTTCTCCCTAAATTAAATAACCCATTTAATATATATGTACATTTTATAAGTTGGCTAAAATGTGCATGATCAACATTTTTCAGATTGATAAGTGAGAAGGCAACTCAGTCCTAGTTGCCAGAAAGAGAGAAAAAAAGTTACTTTCTTACTGAATTAGTAAAATTGCATTTCCTTGTGATTTTTCAACACAGTGTCTCCTCCTGCTCATGCTTATACCTTGTGAATCATTCAATTTGCAGAACTAAACTAATGTCCTAACTCAGGATCTTTTAGTCATGGTATCTTTCCTCAGTCCCAGTTCTCTAATGTATTCATGAACAGGCTGCTCTGCGAGAGAGCCATAGCAGGTATATCCCAGCAGATTCATGATCCCTCCTCCTCCTCCTCCTCCTCATTTTACAAGATCCAACTGTATTGGGAGGTAATTTTTTTTCACATTGGCAAAGGATCATATTCCGTGGTAAAGCAAAAGCTTTGCATTCAGAAGATCCAAGTTTTGATTTCCATACTGCCAGTTAAAAAGGATGAAGTAGCAGATGAATTAAAAAAAAAACCTTATTCCACTTGAAATCTTGGAGAAGTTTGCTAGTAACAATAGGCAACACTGGGATTCGTGGAGAAATACTCTTGTCCTAGTGTAAGTT